ATGATGATGATGATGATGATGATGATGATGATGATGATGATGATGATGATGATGATGAATCATCAACAACATAAAACGCAAACACTAGCCTGGTGTTATTTTGCAGACCGAAGTGTTTGCTCCCATGTGTGGCACTCCATCAAATGTCACCTACAGTATACAGGAGCTCGAACATCCCCTGCAAACGATCTTGGCCACCTGCCACTTCCACATCTGAAAACAACTCTCACAAAGCTCTCACAATGATCTTGTTCGTGTCAGGCCGGAAGTCTGGTGCTCAACGGTTTGCAACGGGGCGGATGGAAAAGACGGAGTTAACATGAGTTACTGTAACTAATGTAGCGAATGTCGATCAATAACCCCACTGAAATGGGAAACATAGAACCTCTTGGTATGCGGGGGGTTGTTAATCAACGATCTACATTGAGAGATCAATCGAGGCTGTAGAACCCGGATCCTTGGCATTGGTGAGAATATAATGTGACCGAAACACTCTCCCTTCTTCACACGCTTTTCAAGCCCAACACAGGATCCCGAGAAGCATCTTCAAGAAGGGTCAAGAGGCCTTCTAGGACCCCTGTGAACATGGGCCATGGGCTTCAACCTCGGCCCTGCCCCGCACCTGTCCGACTTCGACGGATTACTGGGGCGTCCTGCACGCAGCTCCGATGAAAAACCATGAGAAACACATCGATTTACCAGCATGGTGGCATGGCGGGATTCACAGCAGCATGTTTCACAGCTTGAAGCGATGGATTCAGGAGTCTGTTCAAGAAAAATTACCTGTAACAGTCGGTAAACAAGTATCAGGATCACTCGTATTTTTAGATAACCATCGTCATCCACTGTTACTGGTAATAGGATAGACCCAATACTAGCGATGGCCTCCAACCTATACTTGCGATGGCCTTCCCACCTACTAGCCATACTAGCCATGGCCTCCATCCACCCTATACTTGCGATGGCCTCCAATCCATCGCTACTAAACGATGGTGAAAACCCCGAGCGACCCATCTCACTATCGATCCCTGCAGCCCCTCCTGATCTCGGCACCTGGTGCTTGGACAGAGCTCCGGTCGCTCCGGAGAAGCCGGAGCGACCGGAGGCCGGGGTCCATGCGAAAGAGACGGGGGACCCGGCTCCGGAATCACGTTCTGACCCAGAGGAGTTACGTACATGCCGTACATGTATATATATATATTCCATGAGAATGACCCATAGTAACTAGTTCATAATGGATGACAGCCCTCAGTGCATACCAAATCACCTAGGACCCCTGGGGGGCCAACCCCATTTTAGCCTCTCTCTGGTCCAATAACTGTCCAATATCAGTGTCCAAATAAAATGGAGGGGTCCAACCCAACCTCTCTTGAAAATCCCTCTGATAAAAGGGGGGTAGCCAACCTTAGATCCAAGTCGAGATAGACTCAGACTGATTTTCTTGTCTGGACCAATTTTATTTTGGTGACCTTCAAAATCAGGTCGGCCCCCTGGCTAGGATCTATCTCCTTCCAGGGGGGCCAAGTTCCCCCATCGATAGTTCATGGTTGGCAACACTAGTTCATAGTTCAGGCAAACATCTCTGCAAAAAATCAGCTCGAAGCCATTCCCGAATTTTGAGGTGGGATGATTGGCGTCGGCACCACGGAGTCTCGGCGTGATCTCTTTGCGCTCGGCCCTAGCGGCCGAACGTCGGGCCCCCGGTGACCGAAAAGGCCCCACCGAAGAAGGCCCGAGTCCAACGTGATCAGCAAGCAGGACCAGCCTGATAATTGTTGGAATATCTGCAAAAAGAGAGGGATCTTTTGGATGACCACACTTGAAGAGACCCACATTTCTTGATGGATCCAAACCATCGCCATGTCCACCGTGGCCTCTCTGCCAGGATCTTCCCGCCTGCCATTTGGAACGTGTTGGATTGACATCAGAAGAGCTTCTCTAGTAAAGAAAATTAGCTTGCCTAAGGTATGTCGTCTAAGTTACAGTAAGTTAAGTAACAAATTGTACTCAGGACAAAAAAAACGTGGATATGCACTGAACATATACCAAATATATACGTAGCACTGTTTTTGTGGCGAACAGGTGGTTTGTACGTAGCACGTTCAATTAACTGAGTTGTTTTTAAGGAGTTTGGATGCGTTTTTGTTGCTTCGAGCGCCTTTTGAGCTCCTATACATTTTGGACCAATTTGGGATAGTGGTATGTCTTTTGTTCCAGTTACGACTCCCAAATTCCCTTACTATCACAGGCCAGGAAGGTTCTGATCCATCCATCAGGCCTAAAGTGTGTGTGTGTGTGTACTTAATTCACTTCTGTAGTGTTGACGGCGGTAAAGCAAATTGAGCACATGGCGCCCTGTGAATCCAATTCAGTTGGCCAGAGTTGCCGGGCAAACCTAACAATCCACTCTATTCCCCCAAAGATACCTTGCATTTGCATCATCTCTTGAGCGCAGCATCCCCAAATTGACACCCGCACTTTGCGCGCAAATTCCTTCAAAATGGGCATGCATCCCACAACATCGGGCGCAAATTCATGAGGACCAATGGCACAGACCCCAAGGTCGGTGGTTTACATGGACCCCCATCTGTTCAGGACATCATGGGGTCTGTGCCATCTACTCTCAAACCACTGTTATAATTGGTGGACATTTGTGGATCCATTGGGTCTTCCAACACTTCCAGGACGCCCCCGCAAAGCAAAACTGAAAGGAACACGCCGCTCCCCCCACAAGTGTCCAACCGGGCACCCCAACATAACGTGGTTGGGGTGGGTGCCTAAGGGGTCTAACATGGTCTTACTGCCTTCGACGTGCTTGGAGCCCTCTAGGTTTTTTCAACACCACGGTGCCACGGCGTCACCTCCGCTCGCGGTGCCCGCTGCGGCCCTCATCTCGACGCCCCTCACGAGGCATGTTCGCGTCCTCCGGACCCGGGGGCGGTCCACTGCGGGGGGTCGATTGAGACCGGGACATTCGCGCTGCGCCGGTCTCCGTGGGCCCGGATCCCGCGATCCGCGACACAGTTTTAATGATTAATACAATACCAAATGGCACAATACATATACTGTACAACATAATATATTGTAGTACCTATATATCCGCCGACCCCTGCCTAGCTGACGCCTAGGCCGGCGCCCCCCGCGTGCCTCCTCTCTCTCCGACGGCTCTCCCGACTTTTGGCTGCTAGGCGCAGCCAGGGCAGTCAGCCCCCGTCCATGGGACGGATGCTGCCGGCGTGCCCCAAAACCCGGCCCCCGTCTTGCACAGGGAGGGGTTGGTCTCTGTCGGCCCCCTACCGACTGAGGACGTTCTCGCCGTAGACCTGCGACGACACGCACTATGCTGCTGCTCCTGTGAATTCTGAAAGGAAAAGAAACAGAGAGAGAGTGAGAGAAATCGCGCAACTCCTGCTGCGTCTTCAAACGCAGTCCTATACCTATCCAACGTCCAAACCGATAAAAAAGCCACAAAGGTTGCTAGAGGAACCACTGGCCGCAACTCAAACGTGTTCTCTTTCACCCCTAGCACCTCTCTGCTCACACTTGCTGCTCTGACACCACCTTAGTTACTGTGCCTAGAGTTAACTCCCGTCTGCACCACTCTCTCCTGCCCTGCGGCCGAGCCGTTTTTCCTTCTCGCCTCCGCCGGCGCGGGTGAAACTTACGCCGACGCGGGCCATCTCCGCCTGGCCACTCGACGGGGTGAGTTGAGCGACGCTCTGTCTCTAGCCTGTCCTCTGCAGAACTCGGCGAGCCCGGCCTTCGGCCACAGCACCGGAGGCTGCCTGGGCTTGGGTGATTCGCCGCGTTCGTCCGCCATACTGGCGGGAGATGTCGGCGGGTGCCAAATCAAATTTCCACGGCCTGCCAGGTCTCTGGTCCATCACGGCCATGAGAATGCGCGCCTCTTGGCCACACTCAGCCGCGGCGGTATTGAAGTGCACGCAGGTTGCTTGCAGTGCTTGCAACCGGTCTGCCGGCGATTTGTCGGCCACGATCTCTTCGATGCCGGACATTACCAGTTTGACCAGGATGGTGCTGTAGATGGAACTCCGTTGCAACGTCTCCCATTGGCTGCCTTTCACTATGCAAAGGTCCCACCATGGCTCCGTTTGTCCATCATGCACGGCCCATGCCACATTCTCGGGTGCAGTCAAGTCTCGCCATGCAGCTCCCTGCGGCGACCGTTGCTGAAGGACGTTCTGCATGGTCGCTGGTAGTGGATTCAGCTCTCGTAGAGCCCTGGCCAGAGCGAGCCGGTGGTTGTCAACCGACGGTTGCAGCACTCGAGCCAAGCGCCGGAAAAAATCAGCCACCTCTCCAGCACTCTCTTGCACCTGCTCCAAGTACTCCGGCGGTGTCATTGTCGCCGGCAAGCTGGCCGCCGCACCCGCCAGTCGCGCTTCTGCATCCGCCGCTTCCCAAATGCCCACCTGTGCACAACCATGACACGCTGCTAGTTTGAGTTCTTTACCCCTGACCTGTGGTTTCCCTAGAAAATTGATGGGGACAGTCGACACCCTCTATATTATATATTACATGTGGTTTGTGATATTTTCTCCCTTATATCTTATATATTATATATTGTATATTCTATCTTCTATATTATCTTTTCTGTCTGAACCCCTTTACCACACACGTGCTTTACCTACCTCCTGTAGCCTGCTACACACCCAGTACTTGCTACCCTTTCCCTACGGGGCCCTAGCGTCACCAACTCTGGCGAGGTCGTCACCGCTTCGGCGAGACTGCTGGCTGGGGGGTTCCTCCTCACGTGCATGGTCTCGCTGGAAATGCTGGCGAACGCGGAGCAGTTTCCCACCTTGCCCCCACCCAGGGACCTGTACGCCCCCGATAGCTGCACGTGCACCCGACCCAGCCCTACACAGACCCTATAGTGTGCCGGCGCCCGGCTGTTGGGCGTAAGCCTTTAAATACGGCTGCCACTACAATGATTCACAATCAATTACAATACAATGCACCCGTTCAAACGGAATCTTCATGGAGGTTCGGGGTGCCAATTGTTAGCCACTCACTTAGGGACAAAACACCACCCCTTTTAAGGTAACTCCTGCCATCTGGTTTTGCTTCAGGTACAGACCCCGCCGTCCAGGTCCGAGGTACGAATCATGAAAGGATCGTTCCGATGCTCCGGAAGGGTCGTTCGAGCATGAAGGCCTCAATCAAGGCGACCAACAAGCAGGGAGAGCTTCCGATCCTCACAACCAACTCAGAAATAGGAACTCTCCCTCTCATAGGATGCACCTGAACATACCTGATCATTCCCCAAGAACACGCACCCGTGCACTGATTACTACTGATTCATACGACGGCTACGTGACATGGTGCCCTAAGGGGGGGGGCCCTCAATGAAACAACAATGCCTAACCCTGGGCCCCCAACCCTTAACAGCTAAGGGTGCTATAAAATGCTATAATTAAATAAGACACCCCTTGGAGGTTCCTGGACTGAGTAGTGCGATGCATCCTGGCTTTTCACCCCACACCGAGAACCCACCGCCGGGTCCGTCGCCGCTCGGTCGGCGGATCTTTGGCCAACTAGACCTGAGCGGAGCCAGGTCGGAGTGAGGTCGGAGTGATGTCTCATGTGATTCTGCATGGTCTGAAAACAAGCACAGCACATCTCATGGCCACTCTTTGAAGAATTCAGCTGCGGGACATGGATGAAATCTGATTACCAACACCCTTGTGATGTGCCTAAGCAACCCTCAACGAGACGCCCCTGCTCAGAATTTAGGCTCCTGAGGAGTGTATATGTGAAAAAATTATTGAAACACCACCCCCGTGTGGCGCCTGGTATTTCAGAACCTTCCAAATTCACTGGTATTCACTGGGTTCCAGAAACTCCAGGTCTGGTAAGAATAGGTATATATGATTCTATGATGGGTGCCTAACGATTTCTACCCATAGAAACTTCACCAAGACATCACCATCCCACGGATCGCAGATCCGCGGCGCAAACGATCCGCGGCGCAAACGATCGATGCTCGTTTCGATCTCAAGCGACTGGAGCGGTGAACGCGGTCCAAGCGGTCCTCTCGTCGAGATCTTCGATCAGACCTGCCGCGGTGCGTGACCCACCCACCAGGAGCCGGGGACCGGGGACCGGGTTGACGCTCCCCAGCGGCGTTCGCGAATTTTGGTGGTGCCCGAAGCTGGAAACAGGTTTTGTTGGTGCAACAATTAATTTCCTCAGTGATAGGCAGGTTTGCAGTGGAGTCAACTCAATCAGCTTACTAGAGGGAGTGCTTGAGCGATATAATGCGATGATGTATCATGTTTCTTCAGCAGTTGGGGTCGGCTTGATGTTGGCTGAAGAATTGTAAGGGGTGGCCGCGAATATGACACAACCCTGAGAGCGAATACACTGCATGCTGGAAATTATATACTGATACTATAGATTCAGCGTTGACACATTCATCATGCAAGCAACGTTTGCTGACTGCTAAAGGTCTCCTCCTCTATCATGATGCTTGATGATGCTGCCATCGCGAAATGAGACCCTGTTCTCATCTGGTCTAGAAAGTCCAAAGAAACTAAGCTAAAGGAATCATGAGAATTCATGAGAGCTAATCACAATCAAGTCAACATCAATGTCCAACATCCACAGCTCGTGCCTCTCCCGCGTCGAAGTCTGCCGTGGAACCACTTCCCGCGACGTCGTGTGCCGCGGAGCTTCTTCTCGCGTAGCTGCATGTCGTGGGGTGTCTGCTCTTGACACTCGGGCGCTCTCTTCCCTTCGTTGTCGCCGCTCATCGCCCCTCGTCGAGGATTTCAGACGGTCCTCCGTCTCCCGCGTCCGCCGTGTGGAGTGCCGTGCACTATGCCGACCCTCGGCCCGCGTGGACGGCTCGTCGGGCGCGTCCCGCGCGGGTCCTCGCCCCGTGGAGTCCCGCGCGGACGCGCGGGAGGACGCGTGCGAGGCGTGCGCTCGACTCCGGGTGTCGCGGGCCATCAAACTGATGCGCGTGGAGGTGCGTGGGGGTTCCCCTCGCCGCAAGACGTCCTCGGTGCTATGCCTCGAATGCCTGAGCAGGTCGAGTGAAGATGAGTGAAAGGGCTTAGACCCTTGGGGATTGGTATGTGTGTGTGTCCCTAGTTTTCAATCCCAAACACTCCATTATGCCTTCTGGATCATAATTCGCCTACGTATTGACCTCTGTCACCACCAAAAAGCAGGCAAATGCAGAAAAGGTCAACTAAGAATCAAGAGAGGAAGGTGAGCGGAGATTCCGTGTCAGTGTTGACAGGCAAGCTTGGCACCATACTTAGGATGTACTTGGGGGCTAGTAAACACTGTATGAAACACGAGTATATATATATATAGATATAGATAGATAGATAGATAGATAGATAGATAGTGGTAGATATTAGTTAGTATAAGAATATATATATATATACACGGTCATGCAGTTTGTATATTTTGTGATATAAAATTAGTTGCTATTATTTGCTCCATGTTTCTCCACCATACCAGTAGCCTTTAAGATCCCTTAGGCCATTTCTCGGCAGCACCTGTCCCGCCTCCGGCGCAACTCCTCACGGCTGCGACTGCGGATGCGCAAGCGCGGAGCTGAAGAGGTCTTGGCGGCGGTCTCTCGGCTGGTCCTCGACCGCAAAGGGTCTCAGCGGCTTCGACCAAAAAGCTCCAGGTCTCTTGGAAGTGGAGGCAGGCAGCGTACTGGGCAATCCAAGATGGTCTTCCAATGGCCTATGACCTCCACTTCCATGATGATTTGAGGCTGGCAGGGCTTCCAATGGCCTATGGCCTATGACCTCGACTTCCAATGGGCTTCCAATGGCAGGCTGTGTACTGGTTTCGTTGGTCCTGGACAGGTTGGATCAGCTCTGACTGTTTGGGAGTCAGTCGGGACATGGAGGGAATGAACAGTGCACCCGATCGACCGGCGTCATCCATGCAGCGATGTGTTGAACACATGGAAGTGGATGGCATGGTCTCTTGGAAGCTGACTTTCCTTTTACAAGAGCGGGTCTTCTGCTGACATCTGTACATCGAAACCCAAGGAAACAGCAGGAAAGCATTATGTGATTGATTGCCGGGATCTGAGGTCATAGGACTACCCCCCCACCGCCATCACGCACATCGCAACGCCGAAAGACGGGAAGTATGTGGATTCACATTCTTCGTTACGGTGATCCCCAAACTTGGACATAGGCCGTGCTCCTGGCATTCCGCGCTCGGGAAGCAGCGTTCGCGGTACCTTCCAAGGCGATCAAAAGGCCTTTCTTTCTTTGCAGTGAGATTGAGATGAACTAGTTTTCGGGACGGCGCCAAGACGTCAATTGGAGTATGAATTCATATTATCCAAACCTGAAGGAATGCACCATGAAGTCAGTTCACTCAATTGAGACGGGCTTGCCAAGAAACACATCAACTAGAACCTCCAGCTGTGCCAAAGACTGGAATCTGTTGTGAAATCGTGTAGATCCCTTCCCATCGCTTCCCTCGCTGGCCTGCTTTGGGCCTTTCTCTTGGCCTGGTCTCACAGCGATGTCAGCACTCTGAGTAGATTGTTGCCCTAGCTTGGAGGGCATTTTGGCAATAACCTACCCTCAACAACCAAACCTGCAGAAAACGCAATGTTCAGCCAAAATACACGATGTCTTTCAAGCAAACACGAGGTTTTGCCAAACCTCGATGCACAATGTTAAACATGTTTGGAGGGTTAGGGATCATGTTGTCCAAATTAGCGGCCCAAAAAGGCCAAAAGCGGCTGTGGTGAACCCTAGCCTTGTTTAACTCAAACTAATGGTATGGGTTGACACGGGTTTGAACACATACGGCGTTCTTTTTTGTACGGGTTAGCAATGGGTTTAGGGTTTAGGGTTTGCCAGCTTAAAAGTAAACTGTGCACTGGGCTCGCGCTTTACGCGAGCTCGCAAAAACACCCGACGGTCGACCGGACCGTCCGGTTCTGCTTCGATCAAACACACATGTGTTCAACTTGGTTCGACTCGATGTATTCCTCAAGTGGAGAAAAGCCGTGCTTCGGATCCCGAACCCGAGATCTGAAGGGCATGTCCTGCATGTCGATGGTCTCGATCTAGGTCGTTGAAGTGGAACAAAAACACTCCACCTCTAGGTGTCCTTTGGAACCCATGACTTATGAGCCAATACACTTCGAAACTTGTGGGTCGTTATCTTGAAATTTCACATGTCTATACATGTCTTGAATCCCCAGTGATCTGAGTGGAAGGGCTCACAGAACAGTTTGATCCAAACCCTGAGGTTTTCCGCCATTGCTTGCATGGGATCATTTAAAGGCTCAGGCTCACCCTGGGAAATTGATATCTTCCTCTGGTTGGGTCTTGAACTTGGTCCGTTGATCCGTTGTTCCTCCTCTTCCGCGGTCCGATGGAGTCCTCTTCGGCGGGTGTCTCGTGTCTCTTGCCGGAGACGTGAACCTCCAAATAGATCCACCCACTGATCTCAACATGTCAACCAGTTGCAAAGGGGTGCCTCTTGAAGAGGGTGAAGGCCCATGATGTCTGGATGCGACTCAAAACCATTCCCTTGGCAGCCTTGGCACTGCTGGAATGTTCACCTCTCTCACCTCTCCATCATCTTGCCCTCCCACCAGGTCGGAAAGTGCCCCCCCGAGCGCCTGAGCCTCAACGGTTCAGCTCTCCGCGAGGAAGCGTTGGAGGCGTTCGGCTTGGCCAAGGTCGGGTTGGATTGCTTTGCATCACCCGAGTGCCTAAAGACGAACGCTTGCAAGGGTGGGAAAAGAACTGGCTTCGGAGACGTCCTCTGGCGGCAAGATGTAACAAATGAGACTCAACATCAGTTTGAGGATGCGTGCAACATCGTGCAAATCTAAAGAAAACACCGATTGAATCCGGGTCGTTGCCTCAAACAATGCTTATGTGGAATGTTTGTGAAGAATATCGTGTGTTCCAAGAACCGAATGTCAAGTGAATATGGGTTCATTGATGTTCATTGTTCTTACAAACACTTGGACATTCAGGATGGAGCCTGTGCAGTTTTTGATATGTTTTGATATCTTTGTCTTTGTCTGTTGAGAGTCCATGAGCCATCTGGGTTCGCAATCACAGAGCCCCTCAGTTTCCTGGGACTGGACCTATAGCCTATATCTTACTGTATATATTATATAACAATATCACTAACTATGTCATATCATACGAAATTTCTCTGAATTTCCCCAATCATAAAGGCTCCAAAATAAATCAACAAGGTAGCCCCACGGCAACAGTCTGTATGTTCTGTTGAGATTTCTAGTCTTGCAACAACTATCTTGTGGTCAACTATTCCCTGGCAACTTGCAACTGAAGAAATATCACCAAACTGCCTTGCTAGGCGGCCAGCACATAATAGCACATCTACCCCAATTGCTTTGCCAGGAACTTGAAATGGCCGTGGGTCATGGCACCAGGTTGACCTAACCGGGAGGTCAAACTACATGGTAGGCGGCTGATAGAACGCCGCTTCGTTTTATCATCATGACAGTTTGTTTTCGTGTTGGTTTTTACAATAATTTTTCTTTTCATGTGAAAATGGATGACCCAGAACGTCCGGACAAACTACTTCATTGTGTCACCTTTGCTTCCACAAGTGCGTTAGTGCCAGCGAACGTTAACATGCCCCACCCCACCCCACCCCCATCCCCAACGCAGCATCAACTTCATGACGTAAGTGCCAGCGAACGTTAACATGACCCACCCCACCCCACCCCCATCCCCAACGTAGCATCAACTTCATGACGTAAGTGCCAGCAAACGTTAACATACCCCACCCCACCCCACCCCAACCCACCCCACCCCCATCCCCAACGTAGCATCAACTGAAAAGCAAAAACGCGAAGAAAAGCTGGCGGCGTTCTATCAGCCGCCAGCCAACTACATTTACATGGTGGACAAGGCTGCAAGCTTTGACCCATCCGAAATGACCCACCGATGGCCCTTGATCTTGACCACTTCTTGCACCTTCTCCGCGATCGTCGCCGGGATTCCTCCTGATGAGCGCGTCCCGCACAGGAGCACTGCTACCAGCTGTGCTACGAAGGGAGACCGTCACAGTGGTGGTGTCAACTTTTGTTGTTGTTGGTTGGTTGGTTGGGTGGCTGGCTGGCTGGCTGGTTGGTTGGTTGGTTGGTGGTTGGTTTTTGTTTGTTTGTTTGTCTGGTTGGGCTGGTTGGCTGGTTGGTTGTTAGGTTGGTAGGAACAAGAGCAGCCCAACATCGTTGTCACATGTTGTAACTCTGGAACTTCAAGGGGGCAAGTTTAGGGATACGGTTGAGGCATGTTGAAGGTTTGAGGGATCAATGTTGGTTTCGTAAGTAGCTGGACCTGTTGCGCTTGTTTCCCTGCAGTCTGGGTTGGTCCGTGCTTGTTAATGTTTTTGAAATGTTGCCGGGGAGGTGCAGAAAACAACCACGCGGCTACCCTTCTTGTTTCTAGGATGTGGCAAGGGCTCCAATAAAACAAGGTAGTGGTAGTGGTAGTGGTAGTGGTAGTGGTAGTAGTAGTAGTAGTAGTAGTAGCAGTAGCAGCAGTAGCAGTCGTAGTCGTAGAAGTAGTAGTAATGATTGTAGTTGTAGTAGTAGTAGTAGTAGTAGTAGTAGTAGTAGTAGTAGTAGTTTGATTAGTAGTAGATTGTTATTTTATTAGTAGTAGTAGTCGTCGTCGTCGTGGTGGTGGTGGTGGTAGCAGTAGCAGTAGCAGTAGCAGTAGCAGCAGTAGCAGTAGCAGCAGCAGCAGCAGCAACAGTAGTAGTAGCAGTAGAAGTAGAAGAAGAAGAAGAAGTAGTAGTAGTAGTAGTAGCGGCAGTAGTAGCAGTAGCAGTAGCAGTAGAAGTAGAAGTAGTAGTAGTAGTAGTAGAAGTAGTAGTAGTATTAGTAGTAGTACTAGCAGTAGCAGTAGCAGTAGCAGTAGTAGTAGTAGTAGAAGTAGCGGCAGTAGCGGCAGTAGCGGCAGTAGCAGCAGGAGTAGTAGTAGTAGTAGTAGTAGCAGTAGTAGTAGTAGTAGAGTAGTAGTAGTAGTAGTAGTAGTAGTAGTAGTAGTAGTAGTAGTAGTAGTAGTAGTAGTCGTAGTGGTAGTGGTAGTGGTAGTGGTAGTAGTAGTAGTAGTAGATTAGTAGTAGGAGGAGGAGGAGGAGCAGTAGCAGTAGCAGTAGCAGTAGCAGTAGTAGTAGTAGTTGTGGTGGTAGTAGTAGTAGTAGTAGTAGGAAGAGGAGGTAGGAGTAGGAGTAGCAGTAGAAGTAGAGGCGTAGAAGCAGAAGTAGAAGTTGTTCCTTCGCTAGCTAGCTAGTTAGTTCGTTCGCTGAGTTATTTGCAGTTGGAGGTTACGACATGGTGGTACTACTATGTATTACTCATCCCACTAGTACTACTACACCAGGGTGACCACTGCCACCACCGCTACCGCTACCACTACCACGACCATGACCACCACCACCAACACCATCACCACCATCACCACCACAACCACCGCCACCACGACGACGACTAGTACGACAACAACTACTCCACTACGATTACTATTGCTTTTGCATACTTTGAGCTATTGCTATTATACTAGTACTCTTCCTCGCGAGACGACGACTACTACTGCTCCTACTACTACTGCAACTACTAACTAGGCTGCTACTACTACTACTACTGCTGCTGCTGCTGCTGCTACTACTACTACTAGAAGTACTAGTACTAGTACTAGGTACTAGTACTAGTACTAGTACTAGTACTACTACTACTACTACTACTACTACTACTACTACTACTACGACCACCACCACCACAACAACAACTACTACTACTACTACGCTTTAAAGTACTGGTACCAGTACTGGATTGTGGTTTAGGACAGGGGGTCAAGAAATAACCGCGGCGCTGCAGTTCTTGTTTCTAGGAGGCGGCAAAGACAAGGCAAGAAGATGTGTGTTAACGGGACTGCAGTTTTTGTTTGCACCATGTTGCACCTTCTTCTTGTTCTTGTGATTGTTGTTGGTGGTGTTGGTGGTGTTTCTGGTACTCGGCCTGCAAAAGCCCAAGATCTGTAAACACGCTTGAATCTACCATCAAATTCCATCTCGGTCCAATTGTTGTTATGACTTGCAACTACACTGAACCATATCAGGCACTGCAGCCAGGGAGAACCTCAAGATCAAATCAACAGGAACGCACATGAACGCACCAATCTTCTCGGAGTCACCCTGCGGGATGCCTGGCTGCTCTTCGCGCACGCTGTGCTCGCTGTGGCATCGGAGGCCCCATGGCGTCCGTCTGGCTCTGGAAGTAGGTCCCTGCAAAGGTCGAGTGACTGGTGCAAGTGCGTTCGCTCGTAACGAGAGCATGGCCAGCTTCTGAACATGTGCGCCAGCTTCTGAAAAGTAGCTTCTGAAAAGTATGTGCTGAAGTATCTGCACCCGAAAAGGACCAGTTGACCTGATTTAGCTCGGTGCTGTGACTCTTTTGAAGCAGAGCATGCATCATCATGCTGATCATGGTGGATGTGTCAAGGGCACCTCGTGTCAAGGCAAGCGCTTTAAGTTGACCTTGGAACACCCATGCAACACCCCCCTGGTACAGCCTCAGCTGTTGGTCATGGAACATGAAAGCTATGGCGTGGTTTACTTGACCTGCTCGACCTTACACCGCTTCACCGATCAATGTTCTTTCGAGTCCGGATCCAGTCGTAAGTACCCTCCTTTCGCTTCGGTGGGACGGGCCCGGGTGGGTGCCAGCCCGTCGGGTCCAGTCGTACCGAACCGGTGTAGTCGCTACGACTGGGATCAAGGTCTGTGGACCAGCTCGACCGGAAAACCGGTCCCGACGGTGAGGAGACACAGATCCCACCTCTCTGGCTTCAGCGACATCTCCTGGAAGGCACGAGCGAGCGAAGCGACCGGAGCTCCGTTGACTTGAGTTGAGCTGGCAGAGATGACTTTAAGTTGCTGTGAGTTGGAGTGCATGGCTGAATTCAAGGCAATATCCCAGCGAAGCGACCACAGACCTTGGTCGATCCCTCCTGAAGGACTTGCGAAACTCGACGACCTTTATTATTTAATGACCCATGGTGACCCAACAGTTAGCCTTTTGCCAAAAAAGACTCATGGGCCTCCAAATGCAGCCGACCCACGATGGTCAGCACCACATCCTTGAACAAACTCAGAGTCAGTCGTTGTTTCGCTCCTGATCGAAAAGGGACCCAAATCCGGTGGCTTGATCCGCCCCAACGGATACGACGTCGCCCCGGTCCAGCGCGGGAAGCGGCTTCCGCAGAGTGACGAGACCCCCAGGGTCCTCCTGCGCAGCGGGGGGTGTGAGGAGGTGTGAGGGTTCGAGGTCGGGAAGAACATTGAGGGGTTGATGATAAATAACTATGTATAGACCTCTATAGAGAGAGAGAGAGAAAGAGAGAGCTGAGAGAGCTAAGAGTAACGAAAAACATGATAGTAGTCATATATATATATATAAGATTATATATGATTATATAAGTGGATCACACAAACACTGAAAATACCAAACCAAACATTCCAAGAATTGCTTGTTCGCGATTCGGGACGTATCCTCTAAACACATCACTCTCCATTCAAGTCCGTCACCAAGTCTTTCGATGGGTCAGGAATCTGGTCCAATGTTCCTGAAGTACCCAAACACTCCATGTATGACATCTTGACCGATCAGTTGGGGTGCTTGAAAAGGGGTCAATGGGGCGGGTTTCATATGCCAGTCCCAGACAGGTCGTGTCTGGGGTATGACCCTCCCGCAAATACGATCCCATGGAACCTGAGAAGGAAAGAGCGGCGGAAGATCGATCATGTTCGGTGGCTGCCAAGCCGACGTGGGCCATTGGGGTTCCATGTCGTCCTCTGCAGGGGGTATCTGTTTTGCAGAACCACTCGCGTTGCATCATTGCTCTTGCTGGTTCAACAAAATGATGTACAAGCCGAGGCTGTGAAGACGTAAGCAGTTGGATCTTCATCTATATAAAACAAAATGCAGTGCTCTTGAGTGCATGTCAAAATGATGTCAACATGTTTAAGGGAATGGATGCAATGAAGATGGCTATAGAGGACTCATGGTAACCTTGCGCATCACTGGCAAAAAGGTCAAGACCAACAGCTTTCCTGGTTCTATATTTCCCTTCCCGCACACACACACACATTAGTATCTTGAAGACCTACTTTGGGCTGTGGTGTCGTGCCTCGTCAGGACCCCGTGCGTCTGTGGTGGGCAGCGACTCGATGAAACAAAATGTCCAAACACTCCATGTATGGCATCGCTTGGTTGGGTTGGAGGCCATCGCTTCGACGCCATTGCTAGTACATCCACCCCTGAAACCACCCCAAAGTAGTATCTGGGATTAGGCAAGCACCTTCCCCTTTGCAGCGCCCACCTGCAAAGGATTTCCCTCCAAAGCACATACCTCTTGGGGGGGATCGTTGTTTTTTGCCTTGCTTCTGGCCGCCAAACTCGTGCCTCGGTCATGTTGAAACACACGGAGGGTGCAAACTGCAGCAGTTGCCTGCACTGCACGACAACCAACACTGGCGAAGCGAGACTTCGAAAGAGCGAGCGACACTTCAGGCACTCTTGGGGCAATGAGTTTTCCCTGTGCGGTGATGCAGTGAATCTCTGGATGAAATTGGATGAATCTCTCTTCCAAGCCGACCCTACTCCTTAGGTCCTTGATGGTCCACCAAGTATGGACCAAGCAATACCAAACATACTGATGGAAGCTCTCTCAGAGGTCGAATTCAGAGTCCATGTGAGCCATGCTGAAAACCTTGATAGATTCCTATGTCGTAAGAACTGCCTTACGCAAAAACTTACGCCGCGCTTACGCGACCGCAGTTTCAGCTTACGCGGGGGTGTTGCTTACGCCGCTGCTTACGCCACCTTACGCCATTGCAGGCTTTGCTTACGCAGCATCGATATGACATAACTTGGAAATGTCTGGCTTACGCCAAAGCTTACGCAGAGCTTACGCGACCGCAGTTTTAGCTTACGCGGGGGGAGGTTTTCAGCATGGCTCATGTGAAGCGAAGTTCTTCGCGTTGCAGGGCCCTGCGCCTGCGGGCGGGGCCCGCGGTGGTCGCTAGTTCCCCCCATGGGACCTACCCACGTCGTGTCTACCCGACACGACGAAGCGCCCATATGTATGCCTTGGATAACGCGAAAACCTGAAGAACACGTAAACCCCACGTTGGTTCTCCCAAAACTCCAGGGGTTTCATGTCGGACATCCATGGGGTTATATCCAGGTTATATCCGTTTGATCTTTCAGCACGAGCGAATCCGGCGAGGTATCCGGTGAGGATCGATTCGGAGGGTGTCAAATGTCATTCAACATGCTGAATCACGGGTTGAGCACGGGTCACGGGTTAATCACTACCTCACACCCGGACTTTCCCCGTTAAAATGCAAACAAACCGAGTGTGAACATTTCATGACAACCCAGTTCATTCAGCATGTAAATAAATCGAATAAATATGAATAAATGCTATCGCATTTACCTCGGCAGGCAGACTGGCAGAATACCCGAGGTGTTCCATGGTTTTCCCGAAAAAATCACCGCAGGTTTTTCCATTTTGCAAGACTAGTTGAAGAAACGTGAGGTTCAGGCCAGTTCAGGCAAAGAACATGACAAAAAACCATCCATCACATGGAGTGTCGATTTCGGCCCGTTTTTGGTCGGACATCGCTCCGACACCACACCCCTTCTCCTCCACATCGCTCCGTGTGTCTCCACTCGTCGACACCGCGGAACCCGGGCGGAAGAAAGGCCCACCGGTCCGGAGGCCACCGGCCACCGCCTGTCCAAGAAGGGGTCTCGAGGACCGATTTCCTGTGCCGAGGAGGTATCGAAACGAGCAGCGAATACCGAGGGGGTATCGATCGAAACTGGGCAGTCACGAACCGAGCAGTGAGTTCGAGCCAGGCGAACTCGGCAGTGCCGGTGTTTGTTGGATGAGCTTTTGTTGAACAAAACACCTGAAAAACAGCACGTTCTGTGGTGGAAATACTCAGGGAAAGACAAGGTTCTTTAAGGATGCATCCCCAACTACCCCTGAATCACCCTGGAGGGTCAATGGAAATCGGAAGTCGAAGCTCTATCCCCTCTTGGGGGAGGGGTAGGATTACAAAGGACTACACACAGAGGGGATAGGTGACCCAGGTGACCCAGGTGACCCTGGATTGGTGTTCAACGAATTGCACTCGGATGCAGCCAGCCACCTTCTTCCGGTGCTGTGCTGATCATTCGCAGTCCTCTACTCTCCATCTTAGACACTCGGATTGGAAGGAACATTTGGACTCGGATGAACCTGGGTGTTCACTCTCATTGAACTCACGCCTTGTCAAGCTTGCTCATCAAGGAGTCCCAAGCCAGAAACTCAGCAGATTCGGAGCCCTCGACCGCCTCGGCCGACTTGTTCCTGGACGGAGAAACAGCATCCAGTCGAGTCTCGTGTGAGCGTCGTTTTTCGCTCGGACGAGAAGGGGGGGGGTCGTCTGGGGGTTTGAAAACAAGTTGACAAATGGGTGATTGGGGGTGCCAAACACATGGTGATTCTCGGTGTTTTGCATGAATCAATCACTGATTGAAACAAAGGACAATAATTTCATATATATCTACATAAAGGTGGAAGGTGCAACTCCTATCGTTTCCCAAAGCCATCTCCAGTCAACAATCACGCATCATTGCTGTCCACAGAAGGCTTGACTCCGCAGCTTGCTTCTCACAAATCACTCCTACTGAGGGAAAAATCTATGTGTCTTATTCCCTTGCTAAAGGTCTGTTTCACGAAGTGTGATTGTTCTCCGGAAGGACCGTTGCTGGGTTTCTTCAAGCTGGCTTGCCCTTTGATTGAAATGGAGTTTCCTGTTCATTTCTTTCGAACCTTCACAGTCCTGTCCTCGCAAACCCTCCAATTGAATTCCAATTGCAGTATATAGATTATAATGCCAAAAACAACCCCACAAACCACAGAGAGCTACCCGACCCACCCGGCCCACGTGAGGTCCCCGGTCGGTCCCGCCTCGCCAAGAGCCGCCGCACCGAGTCCTCCGAGGCGGGCAGAACGGTGCTGCCGAGGCGTGCGCCGTCATGGAACAAGATCATGAAGCAACAAATATATCGTTTTTGTTGTTATCGTCTTTATAAATAGTGTAAGATCGAAGTACTATTTCAATATAAGGATAATGGGGTGGACAGGACATGGCTGGACCACGAAGCTGGGCATACGTACTTCAAACCAACATGCGGCCGCGCAATATGATGATTAAGGATGATTAAGTCGCCCAATATGCCGGCGGCCTGGCACTTTTGATCCCCAAGGGTCCAAGGAGGATTCTTCCTCTGGGAGTCCTACCAGCTGCTTCCAAGGGGTTACCAATGGACAACCGTACACTGCTGAAAAAGGTCACCAGACAGGACACCCAAACAGGAAGCGCTAGGAGTCGGTCGACGATTCTTTCAGAAATGGTCTAAATCGATGGGCTCGATTTCAGGCATGTTTTTTCGTCGGATTTGGCGATTCCGTTTTCTTTGACCCTTGGAATTACTGCTCAGACTCAGTCCCAGACACTCCATGGGACCTGGCATATTTATAAAGATTGACCCCCTTTTCAACCACCCCAACTGATCGGTAGTCCTACGCCAGTCCCATTAGTCGTGTCTCGGAGTGCAGCTGCATCGGGCTCGGGCTGTCGGCTTTTCACTCTGAAGGAGTGAACCTGTGTCCGTCCGCGCCTCAAGCGGAGATGAAGACGTCCTAGATGGGCATCGTGAACAGGCGTGAAAAGCGTCGGGAACTCGGGCCGGGTCAGGATGGAACAGCATGGGTGAGACTTTCTATATATTACACACATAAATGGAGATAATCGTCTACAAAGTAGGTATAGGAGACCGGGACCATTCCAAATGTGCTTGCTTTTCACTCGATTGCTCCTTCTGCCCGAAACGTAGAAGTATAATATATAAAAAGTTGGCCCATAATTACATGCCAGGGTATGCCCTGCAGATATACAGCTTTGCTCAAAATCCCGCACCCCGACAAACCTTGACCAACATGAACAAGATCCTCTGTACTGTAGTGGGAACCCATTGACTACGTCAAAGCCTAATTATTCTCCCACGGTTCAATGGAGGCCACAATTAAAGATATTACAAAAATTTTGCAAACAGAAAAACAAAAAAACACATATACATAGCTTGAGCCATGCAAACCCAATTCAACCAAAGTAATCCTTTGAAAACTCAGGGCACAACGATTCATTCCTCAAAAAGATTCATCTGAATAAGTTGAAAGGACTGGCAAATTGCAAAACATTGATTGGTTGTGTGTTGCTCCCTCTCTGCCTCTCTCCCTCTCTGTCTTTCTCTCTCTCTCTCTCTCTCTGTTTTCAGACTCTTCATTAAAGATCAGAGTCTTCCTTTTCATCCTCTTCCATCCTTTCCCCATTGTTGCATCATGATTGTTGGGAATTTCTCCATGTGAAACTGCGGCCAAAACCTGTTGGCAAATCCCTTATACATCCTTGTACTCCCTGGTTGTAATCCCCACTGAACCATCCATTTGGAGGCCACCTGCTGGTAGCTCCCCTTTTTTGCCGGATACCACCACGCGCTCGCTCACACACTCCACCATGCAAAACCACTCGCCTGCAAACCACTCGCTGCAGAGAGTCATCGATCACCTGCGGAAACCCGTCACTCGGGCTGCGCCGGCCCGGTGTGGTCGCGCAAGGAATGTGAAAAAAAACCTCCTTCGATTCGGCGGTTTTGGCAGGCAGGCCCTGCAAGGAGATCGTGTTTTTGAGCCTTCCTGGACCCTGGACCTAGACGGGTGATGTGAATTGAAGACTCAAGCTTTTGGCCACATGGACAGATTCACTGTTCCCCTTTGAAGGACCCCTTTATGGGACTCCCTTCATCAGCATGCGGCTCACCCCATCCCCATCCATCCCCATTCTCCTCTGGGGTGGTCCGAGAGGGTCCTCAAAGTCGGTCGGTCACCTTGAAGAGGATCGAGCCCTCCAGCAGTGGACGCATGTCGTCCTGCGCGGCTCGTCTCGTCTGGATCTTCTCGTCGTTTTTCCGTCCTGCTCGTCCTTCCTGTGGTTTGGGTGGGGCGAGGGTTTGGGGGAGATGAAGGGGAGCGGAGGGGAATGGGAGGAGCATCTTTTGGAGGTTGTTTGGGGTTCACATTGATCATTCAAAACATTCAACTCCACTGGTGAGAATGAAACGAACCTTGGGAAAGTGTTGGCAGGTGCTCTTCCCTTGGGGTCCGGGACTGCAAAGCTCGATGTGTCTTCGGTCATTGGGAGTCCAAACTCTCGCCTTGGGACCGGTTTGGGCGAGACATGGCGAGACGATGTTTTCCATATGCAAAAAGAAAAAACGTTTGGTTGAAAAGGGGTCAATGGGGCAGGTTTCATATGCCAGTCCCAGACAGGTCGTGTCAGGTTCCATGGGATCGTTTGCGTACCCCAGACACGACCTGTCTGGGACTGGCATATGAAACCCGCCCCATTGACCCCTTTTCAACCACCCCTGGCCTGATCGGTCAAGATGTCGGTCCCAAACACATCGTGTTTGGGTCAAACACGTGACTCCAATTCTGCCCATCGAGCCAACCTTTGGTGTCCTGAAACGGCATACCGAAACTGCTCGTGGTGGCCTAGCTGCTTGTGAGCGGTGGAGCAGTAGAGAGCCCGGGCATTTATCCTCCTCAAGAACATGCAGAGTTTTCGAGAAGACCCTCCCCTATACTGTGCTGGTACGATGATCGTATCTGTGGTCATCTACTACAAGTCACTTCCCTTGGGCCTTCGACCAGCAGCAAACCGAGCGCTTGGACCTCTGAACCGATTTTCCATCTTCGGCTGCAAAAACCGATTCTTGGATCGCCCAAGAAGTAAGCTGAAAACTTCGGCTGAAAACTCCGGAGGACAACCCTAAACCCTAAACCCAAGTCACGAACCCTCTCGCACCATCTTTCCATGTTCGCACCAAGGGTTCGTCATCCCTTCCTCCACCATCTCAGAGAAGATCTCGGGGAACGTGTCCTTCCCACCGCCCACGAGCGTTACGTCGGAACGGAAGGCGCTGACGCCACGAATAGCAAGCGCGTGCCCCGTTACACGGTCCCGGGTGTGATCCTCCACGCAGGCATATGGTTTTGATAGATGGTATTGGATGGTTCTGGAATCCATTCACAGCTGCGAAAGTTCACAGTTGTTTGACCCCAACTCCAGAGTTTCACCCATCAACTCGCCCATTTACTTCGACCGATCCAGTCGCCATGTTCTATATGAAACGACCTGCGGAGAGTTTGGCTCACCTCTTGCACTGAGGACCTCTGCAGGAACTCAGAATCAAAGAGTTACCAGCAGTCACAAAGGGGTGCCTATTGGAGGATAGGGGTGCCCATTATCCACTCACTGGATGGGACTAAAAAACCATCCCTTTGTGACTGCTGGCCCAACGTTGAAGACCTCTTTTTATACCAGCACCCGACTTCACAGGTCACCAATTAAGACCTGCTACGGCCCAGCAACCCTCGAAAGGGGAGACCTGTTGGAGGGTGCTGGTAGATCAAATTTACATGATTGGGCACATGCTTGATGCTCGTCTTCGTCGAAGTCCACATACATTTGCTATTCACTGTCGACTTGGCAAAATAGAGCACCAGCCCAAACCAAGGAACCAAACATAGAACCAGCCACTGCACTTAAAAGCCCCAACTCCCAGAAACCTCCCATGGACTAAACACCAAGTCAACGAATCAAAAAAAGGCCAGTCTCAGTCTCATTCCAATGGCTGCTCCACAACAACTCAGTCGTTTTCAGAAAAAAACAGCTGCTCCAAAGCTTAATGCTCCTGGATAAAGCTCAGGATATCGACAGAGGGCCAACCATCAGGTCGCTCAGCCTGACTTGGCTGTTTGCGGGGGAGCGTGTTTTCTTTTCATGTTGTCTTCTCTCTGCTCCATATGTGGGGTCGCATGCCACCTGTTGGTCACACAAATGCCTCCACCTGCAAATATGTTCATGGCACGGGCTCCCTACCAAAATCTAGCAATCCAGGACCTCTTCCAATTTGAGCGAGCATCAACCTGCCGGTTACAGTATGCTGTTCCTCGACATGTCAAACCAACTTTGGTGTCGGTTACGGCGCTCGGGGTGTCTACACTCGAAAGAATCGTCGGAGAGACGATTCGAAGTCTTCTGCACACTTTTGATGAACAACTACCCACGTCCGGTTGGCATTCTCCCAGGGGCTGCAGCGACTGGCGGAATTCTCCCAATCCATCCTGATCCATCAACATACCACGGACTTCCTACCTAGCGCTTCCAATGAGTGTCCAATGGTGACCTTTTTCAGCAGTGTAGGGCTGTCCAGCCAGGTACCCCTTGGAAGCAGCTGGTAGTTTTGAATGAAATTTGAGGCGTCCTCTAGGATCTTTTTCACTAAGAGCCAAGGGCTCCTACAGTTCCTACATCGATGGTTGGTACTCCATGGTTCCGATCAAATACCATAAACTTCGACACCCCCATGGGTGAAGAAGGCTTCTAACCAAATGCATGAGGTGAGCCACCCTAATCTGGGTCCCATCCAAAACCCTCACTCTTGCTGACACAGAAGTGGAGGTTCTCCTGGAACGAATAGGAGGTTGGAGTCTTCCAAGGGACTGTTTTCCAGCTCCATCGAGTCAGAGTGTAAACAAGTTGTCTTCCCGTCCTACCCAAAAACACCTCCAAATTCGCTCTCCCGCCGCACGAGAGCTCCTGCTCTCCCGGGCAATTGCGCCTCCGCCGAGTCTTGAGCCGCGAGGAAGTGGATGGCACTCATCGTGGCCTGCGAGCCCACGAGGAAAAACGGCGTCTACGAGGCGGCTTAGGGAACCCCACATGGCTTCCCGTCTTCCTTCTCGGACCTTGCGCACCCCGCTATTGGGTGGGCTGCCTGTTGGACTGCTGGATAGAAGGCTGGCCAAACGCTGTGATCAGTTCACCGAGAAATTGCAGCTATCAGAGCTCTCTGGTGAACGTACGCATCCTGACCACAGACCAGCATGCTTACTTTCGTGGAGTAGAGCCTTCACCATGGCGGCGGCAGCAGAAGGTATATACAAGAAAATCAACGTTCGGCTCGTCTTCTTCGCAGCATTGGTGGAAACTTCAGAGTGGCACACAGTGTCCATGCGACAGGTTCGCTGTGCTATCAGGCTCAAGCTACAGAACCATGCGAGGCCAACGGGGGTGTCCACCAACAAGGCTAACGGTTCGAGTCACCGATCAACCGATCTGCCCCTGTTGAACAGATCAGATGCCGGGGTACCAATATGGGGTTGTACATCAAGTACCACATCAGGAGCATTCGAGACTATGGACATGACGTCAACGACGTGTTTGGATCGACCCGAAGCTGTGGGGTGCTTCGACCCAAAACCTGACTCGACTCAGGTACCGGAGTGAAGCAACCAGCGGGAAACGTCGGATCGTCGGCCTCTTCCAAATCTGTGGCCGCTAAGAGCACCTGCGGGGCGAGCGATGGGGGCGAGCGATGGGGGTGCCCGGTGGCCGCTGTTGAATGCTTACGAAGAGCGAAGACCGTGGCGTCTGACGCCGAAAACAAGCCCAGGCCATATGTGGGTGGCCCAGTTGGATTTCCTGAACCGAACACACGGAAATCAAAAAAACACCAGCCAACAGGTACCTCAGTGGCCAGAAGTGTGGTTTTGTGGTCCACATACCGTGGTTTTGTGCGGTGGACGGTCTTGCGTGTGGTCCTCACACTGGCCAGGCTGTGGTCCCCCCTGAAAATGCACTCAGCTTCGACCCTCGAGGAGGTCATGTCGGGGTGGTGCTCAGTCCCATCCAGTGAGTGGAGTAGCTGGGCACCCCGACTTCCTCCATGGATCGCACCCCGTCTTGTGACTCTCGGCTATGCCTCTTGTGAACATTTTGGGGGTAAGCCTCAGCAACCTGGATGTGTGAGTTAAGCTGTTCAATGGTCTGTGGAGACTGACGTCTCCCACTTGGGGGCAACATAGAGTTACTCATAGACCTGGAAAAGTCTGGGAAAAGACTGAAATCTTCCAAAAGGCATACTGTTCCTCTAGCAAAACACATGGCTTCCGTGTCTATGGTCACGAGAATGGGGCCACCCCAACCATGCCCATTTCGCTCGGCTCGGCCGGTGGCTTCCACAGGAATGTCTATGAAGCTGACACGTTCAGACCCATTGTAGCACGAACAAATCGACCCCTCTCCTCCACCAGAACATGCCCCAGATGCACCCCTATCCGAGACCAATCTGCCCACTAGATCAGGGATGCTTTCAAGGGGTCAATGACTATGGTGGACCATCCAATGGGGGTTTAAGTTTGCCAATGGACTGCACTACGACCCGGGATCTCCATTCACCCAGACAGGATGGTCCAGGTATAGTCCATGTTTGAATGAACACTTCTGTTCGATTCGCCTCGGTGTTCCCGTGTCTCACGTCCTTCGGCGCCGCCCTGTCGCGGCAGCACTGTCGCACCATTTCTCAGCTCCAAACGTTCCACACTTCCACAGCTCGCTTAAGTGACTTGCACGAACGTCTGCGCCAGACATGTCAGTCGACATGGGAGACATGGGCGACATGGGCCGCGATGTTGGGACTGCCGGCGCAGAACGAACAGACAGTGGAAGTGGTATTCAGACTGTGGACAAATCATGACAAACTCCTTTTCAAGACCACCAGCAGCAGCGACTCATGTTCTCCAAAGAGTCTAAACCAGTAGGAACGTCCGGAATCCGGCTTGCCACTACGCTGCAACATCGTTGGCATACCCGCTCACTCCCATCACGGAGGTGGGCGTGCTGGTCGTTGCTGAAGTATCTTAATTCCCATGTTTAAATGTGCTGTATTTTATTGATGGACCCTGCGACCAAATGTTTTGTCTATTTTCCTCTTTCAGGGATCTTTAGGCCCCTATTCCAATACAAGCCGCAGCTTGAGCAGCACCCCTCTTCTTCATCTGAACAAGCTCTTCCATGTGGTCCACCCTGTCGTCCACCTGCTCCACTAGCAAGGAATGCATTCGCGAAGGTCGTCGTTCTTTTGGTGATTGGGAGGCTTCCGAGAGAGGTCCTGATCCTATAATTGATTTGCTTAAGGAGCAGGGACAGAATGAAAAATCACCAGAAGGGGATGGCCCATAGGGAAAATACATATACCAACATCACCCTCACCCACTCTAAGAAAAGGGAAAAAAAACAAGCCAGCATCCCGAACTTATCGATTTGCCTCCGGCAAATCCCGAATCTGCGTCTGCTTTGGCGTCCGCGTTATCCAAGTGGATCAGAGAGTACCGAAAACAGGCAGCTGAAACTTCAATGAAACAAACTATGCAACATCATCGGCTACGAGAACCTGCGCAATTCCAAAGGCCCTGAGGCCTTAAATCAAAATTTGTCTTCAACAAAACTAGCTGTGCTTCGAGGGACCCAAATCGTGTCAAGGGGGGGAGGACAGAAGGACTTTGGGGGTTCATGGAGTCTTCCTTAGAGATCTTCCGAAGATATAATATGGAGATCTGTTTTCCTCAAAGAATTCATTTATCATCACTTATAAATTTATCAATTATTTTCTGATATGTTTTTGCCAAGAGATTGATTTAAATGATTTGAGGTTATCATAGCTGCTCAGGTTTTCGCCCCGCCATTCACACCAACGGCCCGGCCGACGTGTGCTGAGGCCCTCGGACTTCCCTCTGATCCTGACCTCCGTTGGTCGCACACCGGACAGGTTCAGAAGCTCGGAGTGGACGAGCCGAATTGGGATGTGCCCGGACTCCAACAAACTCAGAATGAAAACATTCAATATTTGGAGGTTCCATTTTTGGAGTTCTATGTTCTGAGTATGGAACCTCCAAATATTGGGATGTTTTCATGGCAAATATTGGGATGTTTTCATGGCCTGTTTGGTGCCGATTGAGACCACGTTCTTCACCCCAAACATCTGGAGCTTCAGAGCTTCCGTCACCTGCCTTTCATGGCCTCTTGGGGCTCGTCTAACAGGCAAAGTGAGTTCCACTGAAACTGGCAATGACATGTGGTGTTTTCAAATGATCTGCGAATGAATCAAATCCATGACTTCTTTACTTCCAGGGAGTGTATATCTCATCCTGGGTAGACCGCGGTGGTGACCGGCGATGAGTCGGTCAACCACAGGAGGTTCGATTCGGTCGCATTATTGGAGGCCATCGCTATTAGGAGCAAGCATGCTATTTACTATTAGGGGCTCCTGGCCTTACTACTAGGAACAGGCAGCTACTAGGAACCAAGGGGCATTGGCATTGCTAACTAGGAGCGATCGGACGCTAGGTTGGAGGCCATCGCCGCTAGGTGGGAGGTGTTCCTTTCATCCGAGACTCGGAGTCCAGCTATCGGTTGGACGAGCACCCAAATAGGTCCAACTTCCGAAATCCTTCAGCGGGGCAACATGAAGTCTGTCTTTAAACTATATGGACTTCTAGGGTATACCGCGGAACATGAGTGACCTACTGAGTGACCTCTATTTTGGATCACCAACCACCCAAAATATGTTGACCGTTCGCCCATCCGTATCTATATAAATTTGACGTAGTGACGGATCGAAGGGATCGAATCACACCAATTCCATCGGTCGCAGCGTCATTGTCAATTTAATGATCCTTTATGTCGACAGAGCTCATACTGATTGACAAATGATCATGTTGGGATCTGTTCGATTCAAGCATGTTACCTAGACATTTCCACCTAGTCCTTCGACCCTCAAAGTGATTTTTGATCCCAGGATGGGAGCAGGACTCCCTGAGTTCGGCCAACAGAAAGCCAATAAGGTCAAACCGAAGGTCATGGCAAGCAGCATATTCTGTTCTGCTCCAACTGAATCGATTGCACATCCCGTGGCGTCTCTTTGGCGTCTCGGACAGCCGTGGCTTCACCCCGAGTCGGACCTCGATCCCGATTCGGACCTGAGGTGAAGCGACCGGTGGAGCGACCCGTGGGGAGAGTCGGTTCTGTGCCTGTGAAATCTTCTGCTGCTTTCTAGCAGTAGTCAAGAGGAAAGGCACCATCTTCGACGACTGAAAAAGAAATCCTGTCCACTGACCGTTTTGCCGCAGTGCATAGGGCGTTTAACATGTTGAAACATGCGCCCCGAGAGTTTGCTCAATTCGTTTTTTTTTCCGGGAAGGAGAGGTATCCTATATATATATATATTGAACAACTTTGTTGTTTTTTCATGTGTCTATAGTATTCTATAGTCGGAAGTCACTTGGACAGACATTTCTCGCAGCCTTGATACTATCCAGCGGAGCTTTTCGATGGACCGGTTTAAGCCGGACCATGACTTCACCAATGAATCAGATGTCCAAACCACCCAAGGGGCCTGAGAATGATTATGATGTTAAAAAAAAAAAAACAATTCAACACATCTCAAAGCCAACCTCTAAGACTGATCGGGTCTCTTGTCCATCCCAAACCTGATTGGATCATTGTCGTTCTCTCATGGACTCTTGAGTCGGTCCGGGTCTGATTCGTTGAGTGCCTCTTTTTGTTCCACATGTGCGGGCAGCATTCGGCACGGAAGCCATCAAAGCAGGGGTAGCGAAGCGATGAGCGCGGACGCCGGCACCTGAGAGGGGAAGTCCCAGCTTTGGAGCTGGAGTGTTCAATCTTGGTGCCTCCAAAGACCAGAGGACTCCATTCGGTTCCCCTTCCGGGGCGTTCTACGAATGTTTTCATGTGTAGCATGGCCACTGCAAGGTATTGGGCATCATGTGTGGGCGGGTGGTCGAGGTCATAAGGTGACATCAAACTTGGTGGTGCACACATGGGATCCTCAATCCAAGAATGTTTTTTGGAAACCAAGTCTGCCACCTGCTGGGACTGATTAGGAAGGCACATCCAGCAGTTTAGGTTGGTCAGAATATATGCATATCTGATCTTGATGTGCACATGATCATACATGACCTTAAGCATGGGCCATGGGTAGCTTTTTGGTTTGCATTGGTTTGGGGGCTCTTTCACTCCAAGGAGAAAGAAAAGCGTTGGTCGAAGGCATCGTTTTGGTCTGCTTCCAAAGCCCTTGTCAGACACGTGCACCGTGCCATCCGATCCCATCCGGATCCCAGCCGTGGGCCACCAACCATTCTAAACCATCCAAGACTCTAAACCACGGCCGGCGGGAAACCCACCCGCCGCTTCGGACGGTGACGCTTCGGCGTCCAAACCCCGTCCCGTCCCGTCTGCTGAACGCCGTCCGGACACACCGGGTGCGGCGCCTCAACGCGGCTCGGCCGAGAATTTCACGGGCCGATGAAGCGTGTGAGCCACCGCGGCATCCTGACAGAGAGGATGAAAAACATCCCGCCGGGTGTGGAATCGCACGTGTAGTCGTGCAAATTTTGATTCAAAAGTGCAAGCCCTCTCAGTACTTTTGTTGTTCGATGATGCTTTTTGGGGGTCCCGGATCCTTTCATTTTTAAAGCCGAATCTGCCGAA